TAAGTGCGTGAATCATTGTGAATTGTAGCGTGTGTTTAAAGTGTCTGTGGAAACTAAGTGTATTACAAAGTTGAATTGAGAAAGAATAAACTAGTTTTATTTAAGAAAGGACTTGTATCTCTGAAGTTCCTCGGGAAGAATTTATACCGGGAAATTAACAAACGAACGCAGAGACGTAACACTATAAACGTATGCTACAATTAGCTGGAGAAACTGTCCCCTGGACGGAAGTTATATAAATTCATGATTAATGAAAGGTTATCTCAGGAAATGAGAAGCTGCTTCCCTTATATGTTACTAGGAAAAAAAAAAAACGCCCATAAAAACCACAAAACACAGAATGTGAAATTTGTATGTATCTCCGCATGGACCCAACAAACCTCCATATCAAATTTGGTGAAGATCCATCAACAGGGGGCGAAGTAGTAGTTAAAAACACCCATAAAAACTGTAAAATGTAAAACTAATAATTTGTATGTATCTCCGCATGGACCCAACAAAGCTCCATATCAAATTTGGTGAAGATCCATCAACAGGGGGCGAAGTAGTAGTTAAAAACACCCATAAAAACTGTAAAATGTAAAACTAATAATTTGTATGTATCTCTCCATAGACCCAATGAACCTCCATACCACACGTAGTGAAGATCCATCCACACCCTGCGAAGTAGTGACATGGACATACAACAGACAGTACTATTATATAGTCTTTCTTTGCTTGTACTGTACAGTTTCCAAGTAGGAATAACATTTTGATGTTAACCTAGATTTTCATCATTCTTTTTTCTTCACAAGTTAACCAAAAGAGTAGCTAATTTACAATAACTTTATGCAGGGGTTGATTAAGAGCCAGGAGCTAAATATTTCTACCAGAACTATTATGATCTCGACTAAAGACTAAGGTAAGTAAAAAAGAACCTTATAACAGCCCGTTGATTCCGGGCCTGGGACTACATTTCCAATAGCCCCCGCATTAATCTGCCCTGACTTTATGTAACATCACAATCTGAGAGCCAATAATTTTAAACGCAGCATTTTTAATTATCCCATTATAAGATTGCTGAAAGAATAACGTGCATTTACATTTTTATTACCCTCTTTTTTTTTCGGGGGGGGGGGGACAGCGGTAAGTCTTCGAATTTACAACGTTAAAATCAGGGGTTCGATTCCCCTTGGTGGACACAGCAGATAGCCCGATGTGGGGTTGCTATACGAAAACATACTATTTTTTTAACTGATCCACTGCCAGTAAGACTTTTCTCTCAACACCAGAGACCATTTGGTCGCTCGGATTACGAATGCAAAATCTTTTTTAAACCAATTTTTAAGATATTGTATAAAACTTCTAAATTGTTGAGAAACAGCCTCCTTTTAAGGAAAGAAATGCGTTGAAATACCGCAATAATTTTTAAAATCAATCTTAAATAACTCAATCATAAGTAGCTTTATTACAACGTTAATTAAAAGGAGGGGGTCATGTCCCCACAGCTTTGGAGTTATACAATAATGACTATAGTTTCAACTTTATAAATAAAGGATTTGTCGTAGGTGTCATGAACCGAAGCAAGTTAAAGTTGATAGAGGCTACGTTTTATTGTTTGTAGTTATGCACAAAGCTACACAATGGGCTATCTATGCTCTGCCCACCACGGGTATCGAAACCCGGTTTATAGCGTTGAGTCCGCAGACATACCGCTGTGTCACTGGGGGGCGCTACATTTTATTAGAAAAACAAAATCTAAGAAAAAAATTAATATTGATTACTAAGTAGTCTAATTTCATGTGACAGTGAAAGTATCAACTGAATTTATAATGTTCTTGCAAATAAAAATAAAATTATTAGGCTTTTACATTAATTAGCATTGTAGCGTATGTGTAATTCGTAATTACAAACTATAGTAGTAATAAAAAGATCTGCTGATTCTTTAGCCTATAAACATTGTATCAGAACCGTTTCTAAGGCATTTAGTCGCACAATGACTGAAAGACTGAAAGAGACAAATAAGACTGTGATGTTTATTTGTAATAAAAATTACAATTTTACAAAACATTTGGCCACCAACTTCCTGTTGCTCCCGGGACTAAAAATAACACAGTTTAAGTGTTTTAGTTTTGTTGTTCGGTTTTAATTTTTGTTTTTCGCTAAAATGAATATATTCGAAGCTAGTTTGTTCTCAAGTGGTGTCGTTTGGGGGGAATTTTTCATTCTAGGCTGGTCTAGATCCACTAATACGTTTGTCTGTTAATTTTTAATCACGTTCCCCCCTTTATTTTCATAATAATTCTTCAACGAATTAAAAATTATCTACCATGAATATATTATGAAATGAGTAAAT